GGGTGTCATCCAGACACCCCGGCTCAACCCATCAGTGCCTTGGGAAATGAGAACAAGTCCCGGAACGTGGACCACTTGGAGCATGCAGTCCAATTCAAGCTCAAGAAGACGAATCTCACCAATGAGTTTGTGGAGACCAGGGCTCCGTGAGGAACCCGTAGTTGCGATCCAATAGACTCCGGAGTTGTCCGTAAAATACAACACAGTAGTGTGGCGAACCGACTCGGCCTGAGGGCTCTCTTTGATTCGGAGTAGAGTTTCCTTCAGAGTGGCTAACTCTTTCCATACGGATGGGAACTCGTATGCTAGAGGGACCCATTTCCCCCGCCACATCTCAAACGGGCAACCCGGCAGATGGATAGTGCCACCGGTCCCCGTGCCGCTACCGCCGCCGAAGGTTGGAACCAAAGTAGCCGCCTGGGAGGCGCGAATGAATCGTCCCCGTCCAGATTTCAAGAATGAAATCCACCATGTCAATTTGTGAAGCACGGGTGTGCTCAATCGAGTGGTAGTGTAGTAGGGGGCCGCTCCTGTTCCCAAATCAGGTGGGTGAACCAAAGAATGGAAGTGGCGCAAATGAGTATGGCCGAGTCTCCTGGGGGTCGCTTCAGTTAGAGATTCCAGGATACCTGCGGCCACTGCTAGGCTCAGTCGTGACCATGCTTTGTGACGTGAAGCGCCAGTAAGGTATTCGCAGATCCCCAGGGCCAGCTCTCTCTTGTTCTCTGGGATGCGGATGCATGGCACATCTTGAGTGTCAAAGAGAAACCCGCAATCTTTGACTTCCTGTCGTGGGGTGATCAATTTCTTGGGGTGGAAGAGAAACCCGCAGTCCACCGCAGTGTCCAGGAAGAACCCCAATGCTTGGGCTGTTTTTTCGTAGGTGGGCCCGTGAATCAGAAAGTCATCGACCCAGACCCAAATGAGGACGGATCCTCCCGTGTCGTCAGTTAATATAAAGCCGTACCCAAGCTTCGGGTCGAATCCAATCTCCGAAAAGCCGGTCCAATCACAGTTCGCGCGTCCCGTTCCTTGAAAGACATCGAACCGTTCCTTAACCAGCCGTACAAAGGCCGCTCCAAACTTACAGGCAAGAGCTGGGCTGTTTCCCGCTCCCATTGCCAAACCGTAGTAGGTGACCAGTTCCCCCCTTCGTTCTGGGATGAAGTAGCCCTAAATAGGGACGGTCCTCAGCGTGAGTAGGGAAGTTGTAAAAGAACTTCGAGAGGTCCACCACCGCTGAATACCCTCCAGTGTACATCTCATCGATAATGTGAGAGATTCGAGGCATGTATACAGGGTCTTGAGCTACGCAGTCGTTCTGGCCGCCACGAAGCATGTCCGCGATGACCCGTCATTGTCCTTCCTGTCCTTCCTTGGGGACCACAAACAATGGTGCATTAGTCAGAATCTGGCGACCTTCATCGATGTCTCGGACCACGCCTAAGGACATGAGCTCGTCCACAAAGGCAGATGCCGCTTCTTCCATAGTGGCATCCATCGGAGCAGGGCTGGGGTCCTTTGTGAAGTTTTGACGAGCTCCCATTCGTAACTCCTCCCAGTGTTCTTGCAGGAACTCCCACCACAGAGGCTGTAGCCATTTGGGCACTGGCCCGTCTGCGGTGTAGTTGGCTCTATGGATTCTCAGTCGGTTCAAACCATCCACAATGACTGCCTCTGGTGTAGGATAGTGAGATGCCGCTACCTCCAGATTTGCCACCCGTTTGAGGTACCATTTTCCGCCCGGTGAAAGGTCGGCCGGTTTCCATTCGAAGAGAGTTCTTGGAATGGGAAGCAGTGTTGGGTCCTCTTGGGAGGGTTGCAAAGAAGGCGTGTCTTGGTCCTGTGTAGCACTTGAGAAAAGGTTTTGTAGGGAACGTGACAGATACTCCCAATGAAAGACTGAAGTGCTCCGGTGGAGGCAGCGTTCTGTCAACCTGTCTTTGTCTGTCTTTGGAATCCCCAATCCTCTTGCAAACTCGTCTTTCATGAGCCGGCGGATACCTTTCTCCGTCTTGATCAAAGCCCCAATCCGAGGGGGCATGGGATCCCTCTGTGAATCCGGGGCGTGTCCCGAATCATGGTGTCGAAATCGGTCCCGAGGGACAAGCCCAGGAGGGGTGAGAAGATTCCCCATTGGTCGGATGACCGTCAGATCCCTGTCCAGGTTATCCCAGGTCCAGCGCGGTCCCAGGTCAGCAGCAGTGCGAATGACGAGAAGTCTCCTTTGGTTGATGGCGCCTCCAACTGCTGTGGCGTCAATTGTCTTGCTTTGGGTTCCATAACCCAGATCTTCCCATTGTTTCCAGGAGGCTTTGCTCACAGGTCCAAATTTCCAAAGTTGCGCGTCCGCTTGCCAGGATTCAATAACAATCCTTGGTCGTTGTAGAGGTGGTGTTCCGCTAATCAAAAGTTCCCATTCTTCCTTGCGCGGTGTCTTGGTTGGCCGGCAATAATGGCTTCTCTCGATGACTAGTAGGTCCACAGGATAGTTCGTCAACAGATTTTGCCTCAAACGATGTGGCCCAATTCCCACTAGGGGTGGTCCACTGAAGCAGAGGGGAATGGTGTCTTTCTCATAGGGGATGGAGAATGAAACTGAGATCTTTGGCCATGCATATCTAATGAATTCACATCCTCCTCCGATAATACCCATACTCCGTATATCAATCTCTTCCGTCACTACCTGCCGGACCTCCACTCCCGTAGCCATTCCATGCATTCCATCAATACAAATATGCTCACCTAACACGTAATTGGAAAGAATCATAAAGACAGTTAGATGTTACGGTAGGGGTACACATTGGTAATGGACTTTGAGGGGCTGATGGTTGGGATCTGTGGAAGGGGCAATTGGTATCTGTGGCGAGGGAAAGGTAGGAGGTATCGGTCCAATCGATTAGCATTTGGCCTCCGGTGCGAGGGCACCTAGCCTGCATCCTTGATTGCAAACGTCACCTAGTCTGCGTCCTTGATCATAGTTTTGAGTGGTTGGATTTAATCTTCCCTTTCTTGGGGGGTGTCCCACGTCTCAGAGATTTCCTTGATGATTTGATTGACATCTTTGGACTTGTCTTTGGTGTGGACACGGAGGATCTTTGGACTTGTCTTTGGTGTGGACACGGAGGATCTTCGTCCGCATCTTGTGAGCTTTCGAAGTAGCATGCTCTGATAAGGGACAAGCTGAAGCCGTGTGACCTTTATGCAAGATATAGTGTAGTTTCTTGCTGCCACATTTGGGACAAGCTCGTTCCCGATCGTTCGTAGTGGTGGTGCGTGATTTCCCCCCGCCGCTTTGCGAGCCGCCCTTGGTGTCGGTGGACTATATTTCCTGGTGGATCTCTGATACTCGTTCCCACAAGCTCTCAATCACTTCGTTGGCACTGAATCCGTCCGCTGCAGCGTCCCGTAGGTAGGTGTAGGAGCGTAGAAGATGTGTTGTCCTGTTGACACTGTTACACCGGATGAAGAGGAGCTTTTCTGAATGGTGATCCAGGAGAGCCGCAGCGGGACTTCCTTCCCATCGTTGGAAATGCTTGTAGTACAGTTCCCTCAGCTTGCCAAGAAGTTGGTTGTAGTAGTCATAGGTTTTGTACATGAGGCGGACTAGGGTCCCTTGATTGTAGTAGTCATCGATTTTGTCATCCGGGTAGTGGCGCTTGACCATGAAGGCCTCGATGTACAGCGACATGTTGTCAAAGGCGCTGGTCTTGGCCTTGTCCAAACCCCCAACCAATTTCAGCAGACCTTCCCCATTCTTGACTCGCATCAAGGCGTGACGAGACGGTCTCTTCCAATTTGTGTCCAGATGGACTCCCTTTCCACTTTCCTTGCCATTCGTCAACAGTGCCGACGATAGAGAATCCACTAGCAGCTCTGTCTCATATGTGTCCGAATTAATGTTAGTCGTACCTGGTAGAGCAGGGACGTCAACTGCAGCTGCCATCAGCTCAGTGAAGTCCCTGCTACGTAGTCCCTCCGGCCCCAAGGCCTCCAAAATCTCCTTGCGGGCGATCGACAGTCCATGGATCTTATTAGGATTTCCTTCCGAGGTATCCTTGCCCAAAAACACGTGCGTGCGCGGGATCACAATCTTCTCGGGACTGTGTTGTTAGAATAAAGCAAAATGTGCTCTATCGTGAGTGCCTTTAGCGCTCAGAACAAACTCTCTGCAATCTAAATTCCTAATCGATTGTACAACACTTTCACGACAATAGTTCTCCTGTGTCTAGGTATACTTTGAGTGAAATTGTTCCTATTTGATTAATGTTTGGCTTGAATTGATGATTCAATCACAAAAGTGAGTTCGACGATTTTCCCTTGGAAAATCCCTTGTTTACAGAACTCGATTCGACTTCTACGACAATTCTGTGTTGAATGCAGTACTTTGGGATATCTTGCATAATTCCCTACTGCATCGTACACAACATCGATATTCCACTTGTACAGGATCTTTTCCTGTTTGTGTGGATACAGATTGTCCGACAGACTCACGTCCGGCATACTTGCGTCAAATCCCGACATCTTGCACGATCAAATTCCGATCGCACGTGTCGAAAACCTTGTACTTGAATAGTTTCGTTTGGAACGTAAAAACTCATATTTCGTCATATCCCAACACTCAGCATCAGCGCTCTTCTTCATGAATCGTTCAATACGTTTCAAGAGTTCCATCGGATCTTCAAGAGTAGTCGTGAAATTGTCACAAACTTCAGCATGATGTTTGATTTGACGGTTCTCTTGTTTGTCTCGAAGCAGGCTGATCTTTGCATGTTCTCGTCGAGCTTTGCAGAATAGAGAATCTTGCTTTTGGCCATCTCTGTTTCTCTTGCAACATCTTCAGTTTGAGTTGGAGCGTTCAATCTTGGAGCGATCGCATTGAAGTTGATCAACTTTCCATCTCACATTGATTTCACCATGTTTTCGGAACAATTCATTCCAGAAGCTTGGATGTAGTCGATCACTCTTTCTTTGGCATCTTTGTACGACAATCTTGTCTTTCCATTGTTTTCATCTTTTGTTGAAAATAGATGTTTCACGACTGTTGAACTTGAGTTGCTCTTGACTTTCTGAGGAGTCACACGTCCTCTTCCACCAACGGATGAAGAACGTCCCATTGTCAACGAATCACTCACTCCTTTGAAGATAAGGCAGTGCTGTTCTTCACATAAATTTGTTTTGTTGCCTTTTGTGATTGAATGTTAGAACAAAGCAAAATCTGCTCTATCGTGAGTGCCTTTAGCGCTCAGAACAAACTCTCTGCAATCTAAATTTGTAATCGACTGTAGAACACTTTCACAACAATAGTTCTCCTGTGTCTAGGTATACTTTGAGTGAAATTGTTCCTATTTGATTATTATTTGGCTTGAATTGATGATTCAATCACAAAAGTAAGTTCAAAGATTTCCCTTGGAAAATCCCTTGTTTACAGAACTTGATTCGACCTCTACGACAATTCTGTGTTGAATGCAGTACTTTGGGACATCTTGTATTATTCCCTACTGCATTTTACATCATTTGTATAGGGTCATTCCCTTTTTGTGTGGATTTAGATTGTCCGACGGACTTGCGTCCGGCATACTTTGCGTCGAATCCTGACATCACGATCAAAGTCCGATCGTACGTGTCAAAAACTTTGTACTTGAATAGTTTCTTTTTGTAACGTGAAAACTCATGTTTCGTCATATCCCAACACACCCGGCAGAACGATGATTTTTGTCATTGTTCGGAGAGCGGAAGAGCGGACAGACCTTCAAAATCCATGTGATCACGTTGGATAAGAAGATTAACTCATACTTCAGAGCAAAAGCTAATGATGACCAATTATGATTGGTTCAGACAGAAACAATGAAAAGCGACCAAAGCGATGAGAAGCAACCATAACGCGATCAGAAGTAAGCAAAATAAGGTTTCTGCTCGTTCCGAATGGAACAAATTACTCGTTCCGAATGGAAACTACTGGTTCCAAATGGAAATTACTCGTTCCAAATGGAAATTACTTGTTCTGAATGGAAATAACTCGTTTCCCAAAGCGATGAGAAGCGACCAAAGCGATGAGAAGCGAGCAAAAGTGATTAATTTTTTGGGGGCTGAATCTTGGGGAATTTTTCCCAGCTGGGACTTTGGCAAAACAGGCTCGCTGAAAAAATCTCAAAACAAATAATGCTGTAATTGTTAGAATAAAGCAAAATGTGCTCTATCGTGAGTGCTTTTAGCGCTCAGAACAAATCTCTGCAATCTAAATTTGTAATCGACTGTACAACACTTTCACGACAATAGTTCTCCTGTCTCTAGGTATACTTTGAGTGAAATTGTTCCTATTTGATTAATGTTTGGCTTGAATTGATGATTCAATCACAAAAGTGAGTTCGACGATTTTCCCTTGGAAAATCCCTTGTTTACAGAACTCGATTCGACTTCTACGACAATTCTGTGTTGAATGCAGTACTTTGGGATATCTTGCATAATTCCCTACTGCATCGTACACAACATCGATATTCCACTTGTACAGGATCTTTTCCTGTTTGTGTGGATACAGATTGTCCGACAGACTCACGTCCGGCATACTTGCGTCAAATCCCGACATCTTGCACGATCAAATTCCGATCGCACGTGTCGAAAACCTTGTACTTGAATAGTTTCGTTTGGAACGTAAAAACTCATATTTCGTCATATCCCAACACTCAGCATCAGCGCTCTTCTTCATGAATCGTTCAATACGTTTCAAGAGTTCCATCGGATCTTCAAGAGTAGTCGTGAAATTGTCACAAACTTCAGCATGATGTTTGATTTGACGGTTCTCTTGTTTGTCTCGAAGCAGGCTGATCTTTGCATGTTCTCGTCGAGCTTTGCAGAATAGAGAATCTTGCTTTTGGCCATCTCTGTTTCTCTTGCAACATCTTCAGTTTGAGTTGGAGCGTTCAATCTTGGAGCGATCGCATTGAAGTTGATCAACTTTCCATCTCACATTGATTTCACCATGTTTTCGGAACAATTCATTCCAGAAGCTTGGATGTAGTCGATCACTCTTTCTTTGGCATCTTTGTACGACAATCTTGTCTTTCCATTGTTTTCATCTTTTGTTGAAAATAGATGTTTCACGACTGTTGAACTTGAGTTGCTCTTGACTTTCTGAGGAGTCACACGTCCTCTTCCACCAACGGATGAAGAACGTCCCATTGTCAACGAATCACTCACTCCTTTGAAGATAAGGCAGTGCTGTTCTTCACATAAATTTGTTTTGTTGCCTTTTGTGATTGAATGTTAGAACAAAGCAAAATCTGCTCTATCGTGAGTGCCTTTAGCGCTCAGAACAAACTCTCTGCAATCTAAATTTGTAATCGACTGTAGAACACTTTCACAACAATAGTTCTCCTGTGTCTAGGTATACTTTGAGTGAAATTGTTCCTATTTGATTATTATTTGGCTTGAATTGATGATTCAATCACAAAAGTAAGTTCAAAGATTTCCCTTGGAAAATCCCTTGTTTACAGAACTTGATTCGACCTCTACGACAATTCTGTGTTGAATGCAGTACTTTGGGACATCTTGTATTATTCCCTACTGCATTTTACATCATTTGTATAGGGTCATTCCCTTTTTGTGTGGATTTAGATTGTCCGACGGACTTGCGTCCGGCATACTTTGCGTCGAATCCTGACATCACGATCAAAGTCCGATCGTACGTGTCAAAAACTTTGTACTTGAATAGTTTCTTTTTGTAACGTGAAAACTCATGTTTCGTCATATCCCAACACACCCGGCAGAACGATGATTTTTGTCATTGTTCGGAGAGCGGAAGAGCGGACAGACCTTCAAAATCCATGTGATCACGTTGGATAAGAAGATTAACTCATACTTCAGAGCAAAAGCTAATGATGACCAATTATGATTGGTTCAGACAGAAACAATGAAAAGCGACCAAAGCGATGAGAAGCAACCATAACGCGATCAGAAGTAAGCAAAATAAGGTTTCTGCTCGTTCCGAATGGAACAAATTACTCGTTCCGAATGGAAACTACTGGTTCCAAATGGAAATTACTCGTTCCAAATGGAAATTACTTGTTCTGAATGGAAATAACTCGTTTCCCAAAGCGATGAGAAGCGACCAAAGCGATGAGAAGCGAGCAAAAGTGATTAATTTTTTGGGGGCTGAATCTTGGGGAATTTTTCCCAGCTGGGACTTTGGCAAAACAGGCTCGCTGAAAAAATCTCAAAACAAATAATGCTGTAATTGTTAGAATAAAGCAAAATGTGCTCTATCGTGAGTGCTTTTAGCGCTCAGAACAAATCTCTGCAATCTAAATTTGTAATCGACTGTACAACACTTTCACGACAATAGTTCTCCTGTCTCTAGGTATACTTTGAGTGAAATTGTTCCTATTTGATTAATGTTTGGCTTGAATTGATGATTCAATCACAAAAGTGAGTTCGACGATTTTCCCTTGGAAAATCCCTTGTTTACAGAACTCGATTCGACTTCTACGACAATTCTGTGTTGAATGCAGTACTTTGGGATATCTTGCATAATTCCCTACTGCATCGTACACAACATCGATATTCCACTTGTACAGGATCTTTTCCTGTTTGTGTGGATACAGATTGTCCGACAGACTCACGTCCGGCATACTTGCGTCAAATCCCGACATCTTGCACGATCAAATTCCGATCGCACGTGTCGAAAACCTTGTACTTGAATAGTTTCGTTTGGAACGTAAAAACTCATATTTCGTCATATCCCAACACTCAGCATCAGCGCTCTTCTTCATGAATCGTTCAATACGTTTCAAGAGTTCCATCGGATCTTCAAGAGTAGTCGTGAAATTGTCACAAACTTCAGCATGATGTTTGATTTGACGGTTCTCTTGTTTGTCTCGAAGCAGGCTGATCTTTGCATGTTCTCGTCGAGCTTTGCAGAATAGAGAATCTTGCTTTTGGCCATCTCTGTTTCTCTTGCAACATCTTCAGTTTGAGTTGGAGCGTTCAATCTTGGAGCGATCGCATTGAAGTTGATCAACTTTCCATCTCACATTGATTTCACCATGTTTTCGGAACAATTCATTCCAGAAGCTTGGATGTAGTCGATCACTCTTTCTTTGGCATCTTTGTACGACAATCTTGTCTTTCCATTGTTTTCATCTTTTGTTGAAAATAGATGTTTCACGACTGTTGAACTTGAGTTGCTCTTGACTTTCTGAGGAGTCACACGTCCTCTTCCACCAACGGATGAAGAACGTCCCATTGTCAACGAATCACTCACTCCTTTGAAGATAAGGCAGTGCTGTTCTTCACATAAATTTGTTTTGTTGCCTTTTGTGATTGAATGTTAGAACAAAGCAAAATCTGCTCTATCGTGAGTGCCTTTAGCGCTCAGAACAAACTCTCTGCAATCTAAATTTGTAATCGACTGTAGAACACTTTCACAACAATAGTTCTCCTGTGTCTAGGTATACTTTGAGTGAAATTGTTCCTATTTGATTATTATTTGGCTTGAATTGATGATTCAATCACAAAAGTAAGTTCAAAGATTTCCCTTGGAAAATCCCTTGTTTACAGAACTTGATTCGACCTCTACGACAATTCTGTGTTGAATGCAGTACTTTGGGACATCTTGTATTATTCCCTACTGCATTTTACATCATTTGTATAGGGTCATTCCCTTTTTGTGTGGATTTAGATTGTCCGACGGACTTGCGTCCGGCATACTTTGCGTCGAATCCTGACATCACGATCAAAGTCCGATCGTACGTGTCAAAAACTTTGTACTTGAATAGTTTCTTTTTGTAACGTGAAAACTCATGTTTCGTCATATCCCAACACACCCGGCAGAACGATGATTTTTGTCATTGTTCGGAGAGCGGAAGAGCGGACAGACCTTCAAAATCCATGTGATCACGTTGGATAAGAAGATTAACTCATACTTCAGAGCAAAAGCTAATGATGACCAATTATGATTGGTTCAGACAGAAACAATGAAAAGCGACCAAAGCGATGAGAAGCAACCATAACGCGATCAGAAGTAAGCAAAATAAGGTTTCTGCTCGTTCCGAATGGAACAAATTACTCGTTCCGAATGGAAACTACTGGTTCCAAATGGAAATTACTCGTTCCAAATGGAAATTACTTGTTCTGAATGGAAATAACTCGTTTCCCAAAGCGATGAGAAGCGACCAAAGCGATGAGAAGCGAGCAAAAGTGATTAATTTTTTGGGGGCTGAATCTTGGGGAATTTTTCCCAGCTGGGACTTTGGCAAAACAGGCTCGCTGAAAAAATCTCAAAACAAATAATGCTGTAATTGTTAGAATAAAGCAAAATGTGCTCTATCGTGAGTGCTTTTAGCGCTCAGAACAAATCTCTGCAATCTAAATTTGTAATCGACTGTACAACACTTTCACGACAATAGTTCTCCTGTCTCTAGGTATACTTTGAGTGAAATTGTTCCTATTTGATTAATGTTTGGCTTGAATTGATGATTCAATCACAAAAGTGAGTTCGACGATTTTCCCTTGGAAAATCCCTTGTTTACAGAACTCGATTCGACTTCTACGGCAATTCTGTGTTGAATGCAGTACTTTGGGATATCTTGCATTATTCCCTACTGCATTGTACACAACATTGATATTCCACTTGTACAAGATCTTTTCCTGTTTGTGTGGATACAGATTGTCCGACAGACTCGCGTCCGGCATACTTGCGTCAAATCCCGACATCTTGCACGATCAAATTCCGATCGCACGTGTCGAAAACCTCGTACTTGAATAGTTTCATTTTGGAACGTAAAAACTCATATTTCGTCATATCCCAACATGTGTCGGGAAGAATTCCTGGACTGTTTCGATCTCTTCTTGATCCGTTTACGCCGTTCAGAGCGTTTGTATGCCCTGCTGTCATCGGAATCTTTGTCGGAGCTTGAGCTCCATCCATCGTAAGGTGACTTGGACGAGGAAGAGGAACTGCCGGACGACGAAGGGTCGCTATCATAGTCGCCAGACCCCCTGCGTCGCCTTCCGTGTCTTCGGCCACGACCTTTTCCTTTCTTCCGATCCTTGCCCCTCTTTCCCGTCTTCTTATCTTTATGTCTCCGTCTTCGTGAATCCTTATTCTTGTGATCCTTCCCGTGTCTCCCCTTCGACCCCGATTTTCGTTCATCCTCAAGAGTCGTAGCCGAGGATTCACTAAGCGAAACCACATCATCAGTTTCCAGTAGAACGGACCCCGGTCCGGCAAGGTTGCCTCGTTTGGGAGTGGTGGCTCCAAGTGGAGACTTAGCTGGGCTCCCTGGAGCCGCGCCGGGGGAGCTCTGTTTTTTCCATCGTTGGAGAGCCGCGCCGCTTGCCACCCACAGATCACACTCTCGTTCATTATCAAACTTGCGGTCCATTGCCAAACCCATCTTAAAGTATTCAGTAGCTTCGTCAATGCTGGAGGCTTTGTACCTGTTGTCGGCGGCATCTAGGAAGCCGTAGAAGTTCTTAGTTGAAGGCTGTGGTGGCGGTAGGGGGGGTCCACTAGCATCTGTTGCGGGTGGACCAGCTCGGACTTCAAGCTGATCAAAGGTAACTTGCAGATTCTTGGTTGGATCCTCCGTCCTGGATTCTTTGAGAGCAATGAGTTCCAGACTTTCCCGGTGCGCCTTTCCACTGTTCTGGACAAACTGCAAAGCGGCAGTCATCTGGTCACGCTCGTCTAACTTTCGTAGTTCCATGTCTCTGTCGGATAATGTGAAGCCGGCCTTCCCGTACACTGTGTCACCCCTTTTTGGATGAGCTGCCTGGTACCAAGCAGCCTCCTGTTGGTGCTTCCCTGTAGGATTGATTCGCTTCTTGTAGTGTCTACCGCAAAGGTTCGCTAGTGCTCCACAGACACAGAGGTGCTTCTCACCATGGATATCTGTGATTTTGCAGGTCATGCGACAGTGCTTGTCGGTCAAGTGGACCATATTTGCGGAGGACTCAACTTCGGGAATTGACTCTACTGTTGATCCAGTGTCGGAGATCTCTGCCATTTCAATATCCGTCATTGCTTTGTCGTCATCCGAATCCAGGGGTTCCTCGTCGTCTGGCTCAATTGTATTGTTCTCGTCTGGTTCGTGGCGAGCTACCGACGTGTAGGTGTCCTTCTGAGATGAGATCTTCTTTCGGATTCGGGAGCTGAATCTGGTAGCTCCTCCAGGCGCAGAAGATACACTGGCAGCGGGGAATTGGTTTCCTTTCGGCTTGGCGATCACTGAGAATCCAGTCAAAGTGCTTGGTGATTCCTTGTCCGTCCGGTGAACCTCATGGAACGTTCCTGTAGACGACTCTTCACCTGGGTCCACGGTGGACACGTCGATTTCTTCCTTCTGGACCTTTGGAGGTCTAGGAGAGACCAATCTCTCAAATAATTTCTCTGACAAGCTACTCATTTTATACCTTAGTAGATTGTACACTTAAGCCTCGTTTACTTGTCTATACCACCCCCTTGCAGAATTAAAAACTACCTAAAGGATCGTTGGCATCAAGGGTTGAGTCTGCTTGATGTGTGGGATTTCTCTTTGTTGAGTTTCTGAGTGTATTCGTCTTCGCCAATTTGGCTCTGCCGAGTAATACACTCCTTCAGCAATGAAGCATTGCATTTATGTTCGTAGCTCCCTGTGGCAATACTTTTCTTCAGCGCTGTATATATTTGCTGTTGTACGGGAAACGGCTCCAGGCGCCCCGGCGCTTTTCCTTTCCCTTTTTGTCTTGCCGTGCTACGTCGAATTCTTTCTTTCCGTTGTTCCACGGAAACCTTTCTATACGGAAGGTGGTGGTGGTAGAGTGCAGATTTTTCGAAAGACGACAAGAAATTTCGAAAGACGACAAACCAATTCGAAAGACGACAAACTCGAATGAAACACGACAAATCAATTTGAAACACGACAAAATATTTTTTGGAAAACCGTAATGCCCCCTTTTAAACAATTCCCCCTAAAGAATCATGTATTCGCTCCCCGTAAATTCAATACGCAAAATCCCCTTTAAAACGACGAAAGGACGGACGAGTTGCGGAGGGTCCGGGTATCTACCTACTTCTTTTGTGTTCATTGTGAAATTTACCTATTGCTTTCTCTACCCCATCATGTAAAAATGTCAGTACGCGCCAGCCGAATACTTCTTCGATCGCCAGCCAGTACGTGTCACGGAGGCAACCATATCATGAAACCGAACCGCCCGCGCGAAGCGGGCGTTACGGATTAAGAAAATCTTTCAATGACAATTCGTGGTTAATTAACCACGAATTGAAAAATTCGCGGTAAATTTAACAGCGAATTCTAAAATCGAGTGAGTCATCTGTGTCAACAGTAGTTCTCCAGGACCATGTTGCATTTAGGGAAATCGAAACCGCGGAACCACTAGATGTTGTCAAACGCGCTAATTTATGATCCCTCGGTAAAATTTTCACACGGGGAATCTCGAAAAAAAGGGAACTTTTTAGGGAACTTTTAGGGAACTTTTTAGGGCTTTTTGGGAACTTTTTAGTGAACTTCTGTCGAGAAAATGGAGATTTATTCAGACTCCCTGGCATGATAACAGAGACAAACCAGTTAGATGTTGGGGCGACATTCGATAAAGCTTACTCCAATAATAATAACTGAAACATTAATCGATTAAATGCTATCTAGGGCATACGATTGCCGGTGGAATAAGCGGCTGTAAAGGTCAAGTACCGTGAAGCAACGAGTCAAGAACTAGTTTGAACCATTGGAGACATCTGGTGGACAGAAGTTGATCTAGTCAGGATCGAGAGAATCCTAACTCTACCCGCGACGGGGCGGGGTGATTTTGGGGCGTTGATTCCTCCAAAAGGCCTTGAGACCCAATCACCTGCTGAGCCAAGAAGGCCGGCCGAACCGAAGAGGAGATGGGCCTTGGGGGAAACGAAGGAGGTGTGCAAACGCCCTGAAGAAGCTGTAGGATCGCTATTTTGATGGAAGGGCCCGTCAGTTGCAGGTCTAGCCACGCGGAGAAGGCTGCAGTGCGACGATCCCATTCAGCTGTTGCCGAAG